TGCTCTCCAATAGGACCTGCCACAGAAAAAGCAAGGCAATGCACCATAGGTGCAGTTTTGGCATAAGCCATTTTTTTCGAACTTTCTGCGGTGTCAAAATGGCTGCTTCTATGCGTTTATCGCTTGTGCCTTGCTCTTCCATAAGGGAAAAAGCAAGCTCCAGGCCTGCAATGCACCGAAGGTGCAGTTTTGGCATAAGCCATTTTTTTCGAACTCTTTAGGGTTTTGGTCTTGAGATTTTGTTGGGTTTTCGGGTTTTAAGGTTTAGGGTGGTTCAGATCTCACTGGGTTTGAGGGTTTTAGGGTTCAGGGTGGTTCAGATCTCACTGGGTTTGAGGGTTTTAGGGTTTAGGGTGGTTCAGATCTCAGTGGGTTTGAGGGTTTTAGGGTTTAGGGTGGTTGAGATCTCAGTGGGTTTGAGGGTTTTAGGGTTTTTAGGGTTTAGAATTTAGAATGTGTCTGAGATTTTGGTGGGTTGTAGGGTTTAGGGTTTAGGTTGGTCTTGAGATTTGGTGGGTTATAGGGTTTAGGGTTTAGGGTTGTAAGGTTTGGATTTATCCCAATACATATCTGTGTAGGTAAGCATTTCCCAGAGGCAGAGCCGTGGCCACTTACTTATATAGATAAGTGCCTCCACCGTTAGATTTACGCATTATTTATTTGTAATTATAATAAAGTAAAATACTTAAATATTGTTTCTACTCTATGAGAAAATTAAAACCGTGTTTGTTATAGAGATTTAGAATAAACTCTGCCGGCAAAAATCTAATTTATATTCGCTATAATTGGGATAAATTATTTGAAAAATTTGTTGATATTGAAAAAAGACTAGATTTTTCGAAAAAGTTTAAAGCTGAATATATAGAAATTTTTAGATGTGTAATAGGAAGCTCACCTTGAGATATGTAGACAGTACCCATCTGTTCTTGAGAGAGCAGTAACAAAAGCCATTTGAGTCGATAATAAAGGGAGCTGTGCACTTGATTTTTGCATGTTACTAGAACCTGAGCTACGGATAGAAGCGAGATGGAACTAAATGGGTTTTTTGCCGTCTGGCTTTGTTTAGAAGGCTCTAGTGCAATACTAGAATGAGATTCAAGGCACCCTCCGCAAATTGGTTGACATGAGAAATAACAAGTTCCAGTCGTTGTTATTTGTCAATCTGCAACGAAATTCGAGTTGATACGGTTGTATTTTTCTTGCCATGCCCGTGGCTGTATGTCAAGTGTGCCTTTCTATCCAAGTCTTATTCTTGGCAATCATGTTTTTGCTGTATTTCCAGATACTCCATTGCACTGAATCCACAATTATGGCAAGGATCTTGACTATAAGATTGAGTTGCAAGTTATTTAACCGGTTACTTGCTGGAAGAGATGAACGCAAAAATGTTGGATCTGTCCAGAGCTGGCCTCATTAAGAGATGGAGAGAATAAAGATGGAACAAGTCGAACTCTAGAGGTCCCATATGCCTTCAAAAGACGAACAACCCACTTGATGGTGGCTTTACATCTTTGAGCAAGACAAAGTCTGGATCAGATAGTTGCCTCAGCCTTGGTAGCTGCAGCCTGTGAAGCTCAAGGTGCCACAGCTTCGAAAGATTTGGTACTATTACTCAGTTTGTTTCAATATTGCATTTCCCAGCTGCTGAAATACAACCCGCTCTGCCCGTTTGTCGTAGACGATTTGGGCAGGCCATGACGACAGGCATTACATACTGCGCGCTTGTTTTTTTCTATGCTACAAGAAGTTTTGACTTTCCTTCCATCCAAGGATGGTGGATTTCTTTTATATAGTGGCGTTGATTACAGACACACTGTATCCTTTGGCCCCAGCCTTTATAAAGGCTGTGCTGACGTTGAAGCAGATGCCGGTGTGTTCTACTGCCAAAAGAAGAGTCTGCTCGTTGGATTTGAAGAAAGTATATTGCACGTTTCCTTGTAGCGTTGTTTGTATATAGATGACCCTTGGGCCTGGCTGAACCAGAACCCTCATGCCCGGAGTCCTCTTTCTTTCAGCGCTCCTTGCGCGGGCCTTTTCTTCTTTCAGCGCTCTTTGCGCCTTCGTTAGCAACCGTTGTTAGCAACACTTCACTGAAGCCACTAAGGGCAAGATGGTGTTGGTATGATTCGTCATATTGAGACGAACACAAATCCCAGATAAAAGCTGATGAGTTCCTCATGATCCACCAACGCTTCCAGGGACGATCTTTCCCTTTCTCTCTTAGAAATTCTCGTAAATACCGTTTCTCCCCATACGCCCGACTTCTCAGGCCACTGGTGCGCAAGCAATAGTCCTGAAGAGTCCTTGTAAAGATTCAGAAGTTTTCCGATCCTCCGCCAGGACCGCTTGTAGACGGTCAGGGTTGCTCTCCACTTCTCAAGTGCTTTTTCGTCGCCTTGTTCTGCCGGCGTGGTTTCGCCGCTCTTGCTTCCAGCATCGGAGCCTCATCTGGGCCCAACAAATTGGACGCACTTTGAACTCCCGAAGATGAAGCACCTTGTGCTCCCGAAGATGAAGCATCTTGGGCTCCCGAAAAGGAGGCACTTTGAGTTCTGAACATTGCATTATCTTTAGCCACAAATCGCTCACTCAACTCGGTTGAACGATAGGGGGGTGTCGTATATTTCTCATGACCATGGACAAAGTGGGGTTTCGTCCATTTACCGTATTTTGGTCTAGAGGGCTGCACCTTGAATCCAGGGAAGGAAGCAAGACAGACCTCATGAGGGAACTGTGTCGAGGAAAGGTAGAGAATTTACGTTTTATCGAATAATATAAAAAAGGCATATACCTTAATTTATAGGATTCCTTAAAAGGCTCTATAAGGGGCTTTATAAGGATTCTATAAGGGAATTAAAGAACTATACCTTACAGGTCAAGTACGAAGCCTCCATACCGAAGGCTAAATAATATAGATAATTTAAACCCGTACATTATCCTCTAAATCCTAAACCCTTTATAATATTCTTTAATTGGAAAAACTTGGAATATCCCTACGAGATTTTCTATTTTTTATCGAATTCTTATTCTTCTTCTTCTACCGACTTTAAGGCCGTCAAGCAGCGCATCGCCGAATTCTTATAATTTATTAGATTTTCAAGAAATTATTATTACCAGACTTATTTGCCAAGTCTAGAACAAATACTAATAAAGAAAATTATTAAAGCAAATCTAGAAATCTATAGACCTAACCTAAAAAAAAATCTTTTAGAATAAATAACCAAAAAATATTCGATTATATTTTATCAGAATTCATCTACTAAGTAAAATAAAACAAGAATATTTCTCCCAGATATATTTATTAAATTCTTTGCTGCCTAGAATTAAATATCATGTTTTTGAAATTAATAATAAAATTTCAATTTAAATAAATCATCAGAGATAAAAACTTTTCCAAGAATATGACAAATTAAAATATCTCTTTATCGAAATTATTATTTAATAGATTTGTGAAAAATATGAATATATAGATAATTTTTTTTATCAATCAATTAAGCCAAAATATAGCAATATATTAAATAGTTTTTTTCTATTAATCATATTAATATCTCTAAATTATGAACGGTCATATAATTAGAATATATAGGTTATAAATAGTTGTTGTCTTCCCAGAATTCAATTAAATGTTAGTAGCCTCGGGAGGTATTGCCCTCAATCAGCAAAAATGCCTGTTTCTTATTCAAACATGCTGCCATCCGGCGTCCGATATGTCTTCGTTCACGACAGTCCTGCCATGCCAAGTGAAACATCCGGTTGCATACCAGGTCTGCGATCGCAGACAAACTCCATTCGTTCCGACAGTTCTGAGCAAGAGCCGGCCGCTTCGTTGCTTGGATCGTTCCACATGGCGGCTGACATGCTGATGCATAGGGTGCTCTGGAGGCCACTGCCTGAGATGGTCTTCTAGCTGCTTGTACCATTTCTCGGCTTGCCCAACGCCATCATGCACACAAGCTTCGGCCATGCCAATGTATGCGAAATGTGCTTTCTGTTGGAAGGCAGCTGATGAACTGCGCAATACTTCCATTGCGCGTTCTGCAGCCTGCTTGGCTTCAATATGCTTCCCCATGTGCACCCTTGCAATGGCAAGTCTGGAGTATGCTTGAATCAGGCGACTGCTAGAATCCCCGTCAGTGTTGATTATCTCCTTGAGGCATCTCTCCTGCAATTCCACTGCCTGCTGTGCCATCGCATCTCCCGCGTCAGCAGACCAAGAGTCAATTAAGACTGCTGCGTAAACGGTATCCACCCGAGATTGAAAATATGCTTGAGTCGAGACCTTCCGTGCAGCATCACAGCATTCCTTCGCCCGCTTGAAGCACTCTGCCTCATATGCGCACTCTGCCAACACGCGATATGCGAAGCCCGTGTCATGGTGGTCCGCTCCCATCAACGCCTCTGTAAACCTGACCAGATCTTCTCCCATGGACATGCCCTCCTCGGGGCGAACAATGGCACAGTCCATAACATGGCCCCGCAATGCGTGCAAGGTGAGCATGGATTTGGAGCCTAGCAGTGCAAGTCGAGTTTCGTACATGCGCCGGCTGGCATCACATGCTGTCTGCATGTCCCCGCCCAAATCTGCGACCACGCTCACTGCTTCTTGAAAACTTGCTTCTGCCAAGGAAGGCCCCTGAGGCCGAAGGTGCTTGCCCACAATTGCATCGCAGCGGCTCAAGCGCTCTTGAGCCTCCGGGATCTGCCCAGAGTAAGCATATATCACTGCCGCTGTGCCCAGGGCCTCCACTCTTAGCCCGTAGCAGTCCTCATCCGACAGCTGCAGCACAGCATCTTCCAATTGTTCGAGCCGCTGCTGCTTAGTTTTGAAATTAGCCTGAAGGGAAAACTTAGCAAGCAAACACGTCGCCCTGAGTTTGAGCACGCGCAACGGCGCTAAATCCAAGCACAACGCTTTCAGCAGAAGATCTACAGCTTCCTTCTCTTCGCGAACGACTTCAAACAAGTACTCTGCAAGGGACATCAACACCGCAGCGAGGCTTGCCACGTCAATGCTTTCATGCTGAGGATCGAAGTCCCGGGCAAACGTCGCAATCTGCCTTACGTGCAGGACCATGCTTGAATAAAATGGTGCAGAGTCCTCCTTGGCAGCCTTCACATTCTGAAGGTCAAAGTCGAAAAGCTCTGCCGCAGCAGCCAGCGCTGGAGAAACTACTTTAGCTGCTGTGTCCTCTCTTGCCCCATACAGAAGGAAGTCTTTTTGAACTGTTTGAACAAGGCGGTGGACGCAATAACTGCCTGGCCCTGACCCTTCCGGAGCGGAAGATATCAACGAATGATCGCACAGTTCTTTCAAGACCTGAGAGAAGGCTGTCTCGGAGCTTGTTTTTCCAGCCAGCTCGCGGTACACCGCCATCAGAAGTTCATACGGAATGTTGTCAGGTGCCGCCATTGCACAAACATTGAAAACCTGACTTGCAAACGGAGTCCGGAGGGCCTGCACCGCCAAATCGACAGTTTTGACTATGGTAGCCTCATAGTCTTGTTGTAGCTGTAAGGATGGACATTTGTTCAGCAGCTCCACTCGCTCGTTTGGCTTGCTCAACAACTCGGCATACTTTCGCAACCCTAGATTACACTCCTTGGCCCAGCCGCCCGCTTGAGCTAGCGCCAGGGGATGGTGACCCACTGCCTCAGCGACTTCCTTGGCCCCATCAAAGGCATCTCCTTTCCCAACAAGCCTCTCAAGCAGCTCCAAGGACTCCTGCTCACTAAAGACTGGTACCTGCAATGTGTCGTCCCAAGTCGGGCTGCGAGAAGTAACAAGCACCACGCCGCCTTGTTTCGGAATCCAGCTCTTTATGGTCTCATGGTTTGGCGCATTGTCGAAAACCAGCACCCAAGCCTGCAGCTCTTCCTCCAATGCGCGGACTGCTTTCAGCGCAGCTTTCTCCAGCGTCTCCATGTCATGATTGGCCTTGGCAAGTAAGGGTGAAGAGGCAAGTTCATAGGTAAAAAGCAAATGAGAAACAGAGAGGAAGTGTTAGTGCAATGCACTGGGAGATAGAGAGGGACAGAGAGGAGAGAGAGATACACGGTTCTTCAGATAGATTGACGGCGGACTGGAAAGAAAGATAAAGCAAGATTTGGACAGAGGAATGATCGAGTGAGCTGCCGATTGAAAAGCAACATCCGCGCCATGTGGCTGCCCAAACAGGAAAGGCAGCAAGGATGACGACAAGAAAACAGCAATATCGACCAGACCAGCAGCACTACCAAGAACAAACGCGACAATAACAACACCAACACAGTGGCAGAAGCAGCAGCCCGCATTGTCGTTTAGCTTATGAATGTCTGACTGCGGCTATTATCTCTGCGATGACTGCTAACATTATAGATTACCACAATAACTGGTAGTACTGTCGGTACTATCAGTATCACGACTATTTGCTATGACTATTTTATCATTGTTATCGTTATTTGTTATCATCAGTGATTTAACTAGTCTAACTACTAATATGGCTGTGTTAACTGATACATATATATATATATCTACATACATACATAAATTTATATATAGATATACATGTCAATGATGCGTATATTTTTATTATAGCATAAAAGTATTCAGTCCGTTGTTATTGCTACATCTCCGGCATTGCCATCAAAGCCACCATTGCCAGCAGAAAAGTGCCAGCCATGCTCATGCCAGTATTGTTAAAACTCCTCATTGCGATTATGTGTGGTGCCATTGTGTTCCAATTATCACGAGCTTGCTCGTACCACTGCCATCTTACTACCATTGTGGTTTGTAGTTTGCATCATAGGTCATGGCATCCTGCATTGCGCTCAATGTGCACTGCAAGGGGATGCAAAATAAACCCTTCGTACTTACTCTGATTGGAGTTAGACTTCCGCAATCGCTAGTAAGGGTTGCGCTACTCTTGTTACAATGCTTACTACATACGACTGCCCAAACTTTTGCGGCTGTTACTGCTTCTGAAATTACTGGCTCAGCCGGACGCTTTTGCTGTCAGGCGAGTGCTTGCAATAGCTTGGGTTTTTTGGTGGGGTGGGGCCAGTGGTATGGCAGACGTCGGGCCAGGTTGCCCGTAAGCTTTTTTAGACTTTCGTTAGAGGTTTGCGGTAGCCGCTAGTGAGCAACCACCAATCTATGAAACAAGTGTTGCCCCATGGGCAGTTCCTCACGGTTGGCGCAGATCATAGAAAAAGCTGCAGCAGCAGTGAGCAGCATCGTTTGAGTACTGTGCACAACAAAGCTAGCTTCTCATATCCTTTGTATGTGGGTTTTCCACTGTTGTCACACCAGTAGTAGGCAGTTGGAATCGAATTTTTGCCCATGAAGTGGGCATCTTCCAAAGGGGAATTGTGTGGCTTTGGGCTGTTTGGTCTTTTGGTTGTTGTGGCCTGAGATGCGTGCGCTGCAACCTGCTGTCATTCTCCAACAGTTTCCAATGAAAGGAAGAACTTGATTGCTCGAAAGCGTGAAAACAAGCACCAAGCCCCATGCTCAAACTGCTC